GCCATCTGTTAATATTTCACCGATAGCATAGCATTCCCATTTGAAGCAGACCAACACCTTGAGATTTGTTTAAGCCATGAAGGGGGTCCTACCTTTAAACAAGAAAAGGTTTATGACTCTCCTGACATACTCCAGGGATTCCTGTCTGGCAGTGCTAAGGCAGAACAACTGAAAAAAACAGAACTCTAACATTTCAGAACTGTCAGAGACAAAAACTGACAGAGACAAAGAACATCCAATCAAGCCTTCTCATGTTGCAAAAGAAGATGCTGAGGCTAGAGACAAGGAGCACCTCACTCCAGGTGCCGTTATGGCAGGACCCAAGGGGCAAAACTGGGCGGGAGGAGAATTGCAGAGAGGGGTAGAGGGCTGTCTCTCACCTTCCAACTGGGACTGTATTACTTTCATTATTTCAGTGTCTGTGAGCATGAGAATGCACCAGTGCTATAGATAATTAAGGCAAAGGTTGTGGGAGGTGGAGTATGGTATCACAGCTACCAGTGATACCACACCAATTCCCAATCTGCCACGCTTTGGTTTGTGACACTAACCTGTTCCTTAGCATACTCACCTGTAAAATAAAAACAATGGCAACATAACTTACGTGCTTTTGGGAGGACTAAATGGAGTTGATACTTAGAACAGCACCCCGTTGATAGTAATATAGACATGTTTGCTAATGATATGGTTAGTTACCTCTCATTCTCAACAAGGTCTCAACAGAGTCTTCGAAACTTGCACGAATGGCCAGGGCACATCTTGAAGAAGCATAACAAAGAACCTGTGGGGATATTAAGATTTAAGTCAGGATGACTGGTTCTTGTTACCAGCACCAACGGATCTTTTCATATCCCAAAATAATGAGATTATCCCCCAACATAAGTCAGCATGGCATAGAATACATATTCTGTGATAGGAGATGCTTTTTGGATCCTTTCATGGAAAGTAAATGTCCTTCCTGATTGCATTTTCAACTTTAGTATGTATGCCTGCCTTTTTCTTCTTTTAAAAATGTAGTAAGCTTCACCCACCAACCTTTAGTACCAGCTGTATAAGGAGCAACTAACATCAAGACAAACATGCATGAAATGCTTATGCCCCATCCACTTTGTTTTAAAACACTCTTCAATATGTCAGTACCTTAATCTCTAAGCAATGTTATAGTGGCTGACCACTTTTGAAATTATCTGTGTTTTGTTTGGTGCTTGAAGGGCATGAAAAACTTCCCTCCACTTCCTTCTTCTCTCTCAGGGCTCATTTTCTCTTTTCTTTACTCTGCCCTGCTTGCCCTCTGACCCTGCCTAGCTCTGCTGTTTCCACGGACTTCTGAATCTAATTAATGTCATAGTGGCTATATAAGTGAATTATGTAGGCAGGAGGATGCTGGAAACTTTGAGGAAGGTGCATTCCTTAAGGAAAAACCTGGTTTTGTTAAAAAGGAAGAAAGGAAGAAAGAAGAAAGAAAGAAAGAAGAAAGAAGAAAGAAAGAAAGAAAGAAAGAAAGAAAGAAAGAAAGAAAGAAAGAAGGAAATGCACATTCCCAGGAACATTCATTCCCAAGGGGGCAGAATGGCAGTGAAGTGTAATACCTCAGCAAGTACTTACGCTTAATAAATATCTGTTGTCTGATGAGCAGATGAAACCCTAGGAGGATCTCTTTTGACATCTGGGCAATATTAAGCTATTATGGAAGCTGGCTGCAGGGACAGATAGCCCAAATATGGTGCCATCTAAAACAGGTCTCAGCCCTTGACTGGGGTATTGGCCTCCTTTCTTCCCTCCCTCCTTTGCCCAGCCACTTCACAACCATTTGCAGGGAGTATGTCCTTAGATGATCTCTGAAATGACCCTGGCTCCCAGGGCCCCAGAAAGGTCTCCAAATCCCCAAGACAGCAAACAGGCTAGGGGGAGGGGCATGAGTACTGAAGTTCTCCGCCAGAGGATACTGTCAGAAAGCCCAAGGCGGAGATGGTCCCTATGCCCCATGTTTCCATGGAAACATAGGAGGAGTGATGACAGCCAGCACAGCCACACCATCTGCTCAGGACCTGGTGAATGATGAAAAAAACAGAGAAAGAAAGGCACCTCGAATTCTAGGTTAGAACCATTCAGAGATACCTGTGGAGAGAGAGGGAAAGGTCTGAAGACACAAGAACTCCTGGGAGATTCTAAAATCTATGCTGTCCTGGAGTTTACCATATTAGCATGTAATTTGCAAGGAGAAAGCCTGGAAGGTTTATCCTACAATCCCTGGATACAGTTTCAAACACCCAAGAAGCCTCTGGAAGAAGAAGCAGATCGAGTGATGCATCTGCAGCTTTGCTGGAACAGGGGAGAATGGTGTCCTTAGTGATAAAGCTGGAGATGCTGTAGGGGCTGAGGAATCTTGATGCTGCTCCTATCAACTTCCAGCAGGACCACCTGAAGAGCTAGCTTTTGGCCAGACATATTTTTCTACGGGAATGGTGGGATTATAAAGAGAAAATATCCCACTTGGTTACAAAAGTGACCTCTCAGTTGCAGCTGAGGCTTCAGAATAAGGCATGAATTAAAGCCATGCAAGGCTTCTCTTCTATCAAATCATATCTGGAGGTAGATCTTAGATGCTATAGGTTTGTTTCTGGGTCTATTTAGGAAGCTTCCAGTTCTAGGTTGGCAGAATATAAGTAGGGCCCCAGACTGAGGAGGATTCATTTGTTAGTCTCTTTCTTTGGTACATTTACTCTACACCAACCAATCAACCAACCAACCAACCTGACCCAGGAAGCCAAGCAGCTCCTCTCATTTAGCTGCTTCCCCAGGAGCCCTCCCCTCACCTGGGTGGTTTGATTCAGCTCTCAGGGGTGTTACTTGCATCCATGTGGGGAGAAAAGCCCCTTGGGTCACAAGCAATATAGGATGAGCAAAAGCTAAGATACAGTTTCATAGAAAACATCATTCTAAAATTTTTATTTTTCGATGGTCTCTTTCTCTCTTACATAAAAAAAGTCCCTTTTACTTCTGACATTCTAATCTCCAAAAGTCCAAACCCTTTTTTTGTTTTGTATTAAGGAGTTAAAATTTTGACAACTAGATTAAATGCTCGTTTTAGTTTGTGTACCCAGAGGCTGGAGGATAACAGGAACATCTTCATAAACCAGATAAATAATAAAGATCTCCCATAAAGGCTCTCACTAACTGTTCTACATGTTACTTGTAAAAACTATTAATTTGGATTTGTCTCCATGACAGCTTAGTAAAAACAGTATCTACAACTGTTATTTGGGTTTCCTCAAAAGTCCTCATTCTCCAAGACAATATTACACGAAAATGTAACACTGGAAATAATCCAACTACCCTCATGTTAGAGGCACCAGACAGAAAATCATGGCAATTTCTGAAGACACATTTTTAAATACTTGCCTTGCAATTGCTTTAGGTGCATGCACTCTCATATATTAACACAAGACACGAGAGTTTAAATTCAAATGTAAATCTTCCTGTTACTACATGGTTTTTGGGAGAGCCGTTCATGAGTAAACCCCTCAAGCAGCTCTATACTATCCCAGGGACTTCTGTCTTTCCTTTTCTGGGATCATCTATTTATCTTCAGCCTCCATGGTGAGGGCAAATCTGTATCTGAGCTCCAAGCCCAGCATGGGACTCGCAGTAAACACGGTTATGTTTGTCCTTCAGCGGCCCTCCTTTGTATAAACAGATGTGGTGGGAAGGAAAGGAAAGCCAGATCCCGGTGAGGCCCGGGAGGTCTCCTTTCAGAAGAAGCTTTCCAGCTGCAGCCAGGAGCAGGGAACAGGACACATTTCTTGTTCAGGCCTCAGAACTTGCAGTTCTTCCAGACAGGGGCTGTTCCTGCTCCCTCCTCCACCCTCCACCCCCAGCCTTTGTTCCTGGGAATGCTGTCTCAATGTCTCGTTCTCACTTTTCACCAAAGCAAACATTTCCAACAAGGCTTTATGCTAAGGAGATATTAGGAAGACAGATTTTTTTTTTTTTTTTACCTTTTCTCCAAATACACTGTGCATTGGGATTTGGGCAGCCAGCCCTTCACACCTGTACTTTTCCCTACATTCGTATTCTCTATGTTCTTTCCTAACCTTGTTGCTACCTTCAGCTAATGAGGGGGAGTTTTAAGGGCTGGGAATTATCAGCTTGTAAAATAACATCCATTTTCCCAGACTATGTTGATGCCGACTCTGCCTTAATTTAGCGTTTTACATTTTGCACATTAGTTATAGATGCTAATGAAGAAAGGATTGATTCAGAGCTGGGGGAAAACGGGGGCCAGGCTGAGCATTCTGACATCTAGTCTCAAACAGGAAAGAAGTCTCAGTCTCACTGGCCTTTTGGTCTTCTGTGTCCCGAACTGAGTTTGTTAATCCTCATTCGGAGGTGGGTGAGGCGAGAGTGTGACTCTTCGGTTTGACGTTGGAGGGATCCCGTCACTTGCACCCAAGGGTTTCCATTTCTGGCAGCCCCAGTCAGCGGTTCTTGTCCAGAAAAAGGAACAAAGGGGAGAGTGCTGGAAGGGACTCCCTTTTGGCTGGGAGTGCGAGGTTTGGTGTGAGTGGTGAGGCACAACTGCAGGCTCTGTGCTGCTCTCTAGGAATGCTGGGGAATCCCTGGTGAGAATCCGGAGCTGTGGCCAAGAGGTCAGGAGAGTCAGGGGGCCTTGGAGGCGCTTCCGGTTCTAGGCCAGCTATGGAGAAGCAGAGGTATGGCCCTGACCGGGACAGGCGCTTCTCAGCATGTCTAAAAAAGTAAGCCGGGGGAAGAGCTGTCTGTACAGTGAGGGAGGTTATTATTACTCTTTAGGAGCCACGATGAGACCCCTTCTAGCTGATCACCTGCCTCTCCAGACCGGAGACTAGCGGCAAGTTTGCAGTCGACACCCGGAGGCCAGTCTGTACCCCTTCCCCGTAAGAAATAAAAAGAAAGGAGGCTGGTTTCCAGGGCTGGCCAGCTGGAGGGTGGGTGGGACCCCCACTGGAGGCCAAACCGCAGAGGAGAGCAGGTCCGGGTGTAAGAGGTCTCCTCCGCGCCGCCCCTTTATTTCGCTGAACTTGCGGGCTCCAGAGACCTTAAACGGTTTGTTTGGGGCGCTGCTGCGGGCGGCACAGCTCTCTCCCTGCGCCTGGGCGGCCGGGGAATTCCCACGCACCCACCCGGTTCCGCCGCCCGCGGGAGCGCCCAGCAGGGTCAAGTGGATCCTGGGCCTAGGGAGAAGTGCGTGCAGCCCCGGCAGGGCCGGGCGGGGCCAGGAGTAGGCGGGCGGCGGAGGGATGCGGCAGAGCCAGGCAAAGCTCCGCATCCCCGCGCACTCGGTGCTGCCGCCTCTCCGCCCTCTCCCGCTTGCGGGTTCGCCTCGGGCACCGCCGGGCAGCCGTGGAGCGGGCGGGCCGCGGAGGCGGCGGGAGAGTGGCGGCGGGGCGGCGCGGCCTGCGAGCGCCGCGGGACCCCGAGGAGCGGCGCGGGGAGCGCAGGGGCGCGCGGGGCGGGCGCGGCGCGGGGCTCACGGCGCGCGCGCGCGCGCCTCGGCCTCGCCCGCGCACACGCGCCTCCCGGAGGAGAAAGAGGCGGGCGGGCGGGCGCAGAGCACCGCGGCGGCGGCGGCGGCGGCGGCTGCAGCGGGCCGGGCCGCCGGGAGGGAGGGAAGGAGGGGCGGGCGCTGGGCCGGGGGAGGGGGGCGGCGGCGGCGCGGCGAGCTCGCCGCTCTCTACAGAGTGTGCCTGCACGCAAGCCGGGGAGCGGGTGAGTGCGCTGGCCGCTGCCGCCCGGCCGGCCTGGAGTCGAGGGTGGGGGGCGCCGGGAGCCCCGACCCCGGGGCGGGCGGGCGGCGGCCGCTCCGGCGCGGTTGGGATGCACCTTGAGCGGCGCTTTTCGTTGCAGCGCGCGGGCGGCCCGAGCCTCGGCAGCGGCGGTAGCGGCAGCGGCGGCGGCGGCGCTGACACCTCCCACCATGGACAGCTTCGACTTAGCTCTGCTCCAGGAATGGGACCTCGAGTCGCTGTGGTGAGTACCCGTGCCGGCTGCTTCGGGCGGGCGGGAGCGGCGAGGGGCGTTCGCGCGGCCCGCGCGCCCTCACCTGGGCCGGGGGCTCCGGGCGGCCGGCCGCCGTGGGGGCGGGGTGGGTCGGGGGCGCCCGCCTCGCCGGCCCTTTCCTGCCTCCCCGGGGGGATGCGCGGCCGCCTGCGGGTCTGTTTCCTCCTCTCCCGTCCCCCTCCCTCGCGGCGGCCAGCCCCAACCAAGGGGCTGGGGATGTAGGTAGCCAGGGGCAGAGCGCAGCTTTGGGGAGGAAAAGAAGCGATTTGAAGACTGTCACTAATGCCTGGGGATCCACCCGTCGGCCCCCTGCTCCTCTCACTTCCTTTCCCTCCGATTGCTCCCCCTTACTCCTCCCCGAGAGCCTCCGGCTGGCACCAGCGACCCCCTGGAGTTGGCGCTGCTGTGAAGTGCCCTTAGAGGATGCTCCAGCCTCCCTGCCTGCGCCTGGTCTCGGCTGCATCCTTTCTGTCTCCCACCCACTCCTACCGAGATGGAAAAGTGAACACCCAGGGCAGGAGACGAGTGTTTCTCCGTGCGGGAATTCCAGAGGCCTTGGCCCAGGGAGACTCTTTTTCCTCGAGGTTCACGATTCCTCTGGGCCCTTCACACCTCTTCACAGTTGCACTCCTCCTCCCCACCCCACACAGGCGCCCCGGGTATCCCTTTTTGCCACCCTCACAGCTCGCAGCCCGGGGGCACTCCAGGTTCTGTTTCTTGGGGATCTCACACTGGGGAGCTGCTGTAGGTACATCGCTGCTGGAAGCAGTTTAATTCCAGTTGCGGGTGTCTTAAAAATTCCATTGATTGGTTCAATATCCCTCTTATTCCCTCTTCCTTCTCTGCCCCCTCCCGCCCCCCACTATCTCTTAAATGTTTCCAACCAGCACTATTCAGGTGATAAAATTACTGCCTGCATATTCCTGGAGGAACTTGTGTTATGTTTAATATTTACGGGGATGAACATCTGCTGGAACAAGCATATTAACTGCACTCTGTTCTGCCTCTGGTAATCGCTTATTGTAGAGCTGAGCTTTTTTTTTTTGCTTTTACTTTAATTCAGTAAAGAGTTCACATGTGTCTAAAACTGCAAGTGGTGTGCACATGAATATGCAATCAATGTACAGTTTTAAAGCTAAACTGCTTTATGATTTATGACTCATATAGATGATATGTGGATCTGCGTGTATTTTCTGTGATTTGGGTTTCCAGTGACTTTTATTTTCCTAAAGACAGGTGTAACAAAATAAACTGGACACAAAGCTAGCTCATTATCGAACGGTTTCTTACAAAAGATCCTGTGATGAGTAAGTACAGCTTGCTCTGCATAATGTTGGTGCCTATAAAACATACAAGGATGGGCCCTAATGTAATAAAACTTTTACATATTGCACTAGAAACTTCAAAGAGCCAGGGCAGAGAGAATGTGAAACATGTTATGACTCTGTAAAAGTTGCTAATTACTGTGTTGCTGCTCCTAGGGTTTCATTTACAGACACCTATTATTTTATAGGTTTACATTTAGAAATGTTGGTTTCTGGCACAAATTCAATAGCTTTCCAGATAGCAACTGTACTTGAAAAATGACGTTTCCTTTTAAAAGGCAGTTTTTCAGTCAAAGGGAAGAACTTAACTGTTTTGGTATGTTTTTATGCTGCTTGTCTGTTTGCTGACTCAAAGTGAACCCCCTCATGACTTTTATAAGTAATATTTTGAGATTATCAGCCATAATTTGTGGGCTCTTCCTGCACACGGCTTGAGCTCTGTTTCCTTTTGTATCCTTAGTTCCCAGCTGAATTACCCTGGAGCAGTATCACAGAATAAACATCTTTTGAATTGACTTAAAATTTACATTAGATACGGTACATTTATTATTTTTTAAAAAGCAGAAACATACATGTTTTTTAAAAAGTTGATGCACATGCAATCAGATTTTAATCAGTGCGTTGATTATTGGCTTATGACAGCGTGCAGACTTTCTTGATCACAATATATTAGGGCAGTTTGGCTTGACCAGGGAGGGTTTCCAGTTTTGCAGATGTAGAATTAGGTTTTACAAAAGCTTTTATGGTTCTGGTAAGTTAAAGATAAACCAGACTTGAGTATGCATTTCTAACATGTTTAGACATTTTTCTCAGTTAACAGATGAATTTTTGGATGATGTTCTCAGTCTTATGGTTTACATAAATTTTTAAGTTTATGGTTTATTTTTAAGCTTATAAATTGATTCAGAACATGAATATTTGAGTACTTTCTGCATGTCCAATATTTTGATATCCATTGTTTTCTTACTTGAATGTCTTAATCCTGGAAAGGGTAAGTGGTAGTAGTCCCATTTTATAGATGAGGAAATAGAAGCTTTGAACTATTAAATGACTTTACTGAGGTCATAAAACAGATGACAGTAAACTTTTTAAAACTAACATTTACTTATCAGACACGGTTCTGGGTACCTTTGATGTTTTAGCTCAGTTAATCTTCACAACATTATAAAGCAAGTATTGTTATTAGTTCTGTGTTACAGATAGGAAAACTGAAGATGAGGAGATAGGGTAATCTGCCCAGCGACACACATCTAAATAGGTAGCAGCTGTATTTCCACCAAAAATTAGCTTCAAAGCCCAACTATCTGACTTCAAATCCAGTCAGACAATGCCATTTTCTAGAGTGCTTCAGATGTCTCTCAGTTTATAAGGACAGCTCTGAAATTAATTACAAAACAAAATCTGATGGACTGAAAGTTAAGGTTCTTTTAAAATATCAAAGAGAAAGTTAGAGCCCTAAGTGGTATTAAAATTAAAAATTTGAAAATCAAATACCATAGTTACGAAAGTATACCTGTTAATTATGAATTACTGTATTAGAGCAATATATATTTTAAATAAAGACCGTTGAAAACTTCTTCTTTAATTCATCATAGAAAACCTTTTTTTTTTTGAAGGGGGAAGGAGGAGATACAGATTAATGGCAAAAGAGAATCTTATTTTAATCCCCAACAACTTTTTCTAATTGATGAACATCATTTTCCAGTTGAACAAATTGGAGTTTATTAGTTGTGACTGTGGCTTTGAATCTGAGCCAGTTTATTCTTGCAGTCACAGAAAGTGTCCTCAAATGACTGTATAGATAATATGAAGGGAAAAGCTCAGTTCTGTTGAATATAATCAATATACACAATCAATTGATACTTCAAGAACTACCTCCTTTGCCTCCTTGCATACTCTTCCCCCGACTCAGAAACATCTATACTTATTTTTCAGTATGGGTTTTTTGAGCCTGAATTATCCAAATGGCTGTTTCAACCTTTTTAGCCATACCATAAAGTTGAAAAAGATAGTCCTAATTTCCATCTCTAATTCCACTTCCAATTTATGCTTTGAAGCAAGACTGGAGGACTTGGAACAAGGTGAAGGTGCTCATTCAGAACCCGACACTGTAGCTTTGTTCTGTAGAGTCTTGAGAGTTGGGCATTCAGTGAGTTAACAGGGACCGATATGCAGAAGCTCAAGACCCTCCCCTTCCACTCCCTGCTCCTCCTTCTGTGGTATACCAGCTTTTGATTAGGTGCTAGACATATAAGCCATTCCTCAGGGCCTTTAAAATAATGACCATCCTTTTTAACAGGCCATCTGTTGCTTTCATTTATTCATTTAACAAATATTTATTGATCATCTCTTAAGTGCAAGACCTTTTGCTGGTTGCTGTGGGGGATGCACAGATGAGTAAAGTGTAGGTTGTATATATTGATATTGTCTAGTGAGGAAATTAAGACAAGTACACACTTGAAAAAAGGAAGTTTTCAAAACTGGTGATTCAGAAAAAGAGACCATATTTGGGACTGGGGTGGTAGTAGAGGATGGAAAGAGGGAAGATTGAGTTAAAAAAAGTCTTCCATGAAAATAGGTGACCTTTGAACTAAGTCTTGGAAGACAGATGGGATTTTTACAGATGGTGGGGCTGGGAATATTGAGAGTACATTGGGGCATCTTGGGCAAAGAAAACTTGAACAAGGGCTTTCATGGTGTCTTTGAAAGATCCTTTTATGCGTCATGGTGGAATTACCTATACTGCATATTTTAAAGATGCAGACTCATGAGGTAGGTTTAGTGAAGTTTTCCAAAATGAACTTGTATTTCATCTTCCTTAAATCTTAACACATTTTAATCATTGGCGAGAAAGTCTATCAACATACAATAGTATAATAAATATTCTGATTTCCCTGGCACTCACCCCATTCCTCCATAGCTTCATATAAGCCATATCCATATACTTTTGTTCAGATAGGCATTATTCTTTGTATTCCTTTAAGGTGGAGCCTTCGAAGTTATAATACATGCATCATTTCATGCTCATCAACCTGTTCAATTCAATAAGTATTCACAGAGTATTAGGCAGAGGAGAGGTACCATTAAGGCAGTGACTTTCAAATGCTTCAGACCGTGACCCCCAGTAACAAATACACATTTAACAGTGTCGCCCACCACCCCTTGCACATGCATACACATAACTGAAACAAGAGTGTCATGAAATATCTCTTGTTACTATGTATAGTACACTTAGATATATCCTATCCTGTTTCTTTTTATTTTTCTCTTTAAAAATTTTCCATCCATAGGCTGAAACCTGCAGTTTAGACAACCCTGCTGTATCCTCTAACAAAGGATAGAGTGTGTTTGTTGAAAACTTACAGGAGAATAAGCCATACCCATAAATACTTGTAATCCAAGGCCTACACTGCCTGTTGGAGGGGGTTAAGATATTCACTTAACCATCCATATCTTACTTTCAACAGGAAGATATTCCTGATTAAGTGGCATTTGAAATGGGTCCTGGAGTAGAGTTTCAGGAGGAAATGAAAAGGAGGAAATCCACGTGGAAGGAAGACTGTGAATAGAAACAGGGAGGGAGGAAAGTGTGGATCTTGTTTGGTGAAGGTAGGCTAACACAGGCAGGGAGGGACGAAGAGCCAC